ACATGATCGAGAAGTGAGTGACGGTATGTGTTCGCTCACTTCCCAATCTATTGAGCCGACGTGACCGTTGCATTGTCACACGCCGGCTCGAAATATGAGGTTGAGTGAAAATCACTCGCCTCATAGTTCTCTAAGTGAACTTCACATACTTTACTTGCCTGTTCGAGCATGGAAGCATAAAGATACAAATCCCAGAGAAAGGTAGATGCTGGATGAGGTTACTTTGTCTTCAAGGTTTTACTTCCTTGGCAGATATGAACAACCTCCTAAAGCTTTTGAGACTTAACTCTCTATATGTGGTTAAGTCTTTGTCTCTCTCTCTCTATATGAGAGCAAGCATCTAACCCTTTTTCATGGTGAAGGTTATTTTCTTCGTCTACAGGCTGAGCCGATTCATTAATTGTATCGGCCCAGGTGTGTCTGCCTCACAGGTGTGGGGCCTTTTACTGATTGCTCTAGTTGCAACCTTCGGTTTTCTTGTAAACCTAGAGTGTACAGCACTTTCGCAGTCCATGATGAGGACCTCTTTAGCTGAATTACTACAGCTTTATTTCACCTGGATAGAAGCTATATATGAATAAGCATTTAGTGGCTAAGTGAAGGGGCATGCAGCATCCCTTGCCGTATTATTGTACTGTTTTCAAAATAACCAATTTACTGCTTTAGTGAAAGCATCTTTGGTTCATGAGGTAGTTATGGAACTTAGTGATGCACATATGTCATGTGTTGGTATCGCTATACTGTCGCTGGAATATACACTTTATTGCTTTAGTAAAAGCGCCATCTGTTCATGAAGTGGTTACTGAATCTCAGTTGGGCATACCTTATGTATTGGTGCTACTATGCTGTCTCTATGATGACCCATTTACTGCTTTTAGTAAAAGCATCACAGGTACATGGTGTAGTTATGAGTCTCAGTGGTTGTGCATACCTTGTTTATTGCTATTACTATACTGCCTCTGAGAACCAATTTATTTGCTTTAGTAAAATAATTTTGGTTCAGGAGATGGTTAGGACCCTTTGTATGTGCATACTTTATGTTGGTATTACCATACTGTCTCTGAAATAAACCAATTTCTGCTTTTGTAAAAGAATATGGTTCAGGAGATAGTTGAGACTCTCGGTATGTGCATGCATTTTGTGTTGGCATCACTATACTGTCACTGGAATAAACACTTTATTGCTCTAGTGAAAGCACCATTGGTTCATTAAATGGTTAATGAATCACAGTTGGGCATTCCTTTTTATATATCAGTGTTACTATGCTGTCTCTATGATGACCCATTTACTGCTTTTAGTGAGAGCATCACTGGTACATGGGGTAGTTGTGATCTGTGGTTGTGCATACCTTGTTTATTGCTATTACTATACTGTCACAGAGAACCAATTTATTTACTTTAGTAAAATAATTTTGGTTCAGGAGATGGTTAGGACCCTCAGTATGTGCATACTTTATGTTGATATTACCATACTGTCTCTGAAATCAATTTTTGCTTTAGTAAAAGGATGTTGGTTCAGGAGATAATTGAGACTCGCAGTATTGCATACCTTATGTGTTGGTATTGCTATACTGTCTCTGAGACCGATTTTATTTTAAGTGGTAGCTCCTTTGGCTAATGAAGTTATAAATCTCAGCATTGGGCATACCTTATGTATTGGTATTACTATGCTGCCTCTAAGATGGCCAATTCACTGCTTTTGTGTAAACCTTATTGGTTCATGAGATGGTTATGAATCTCAGTGTTTGAGCATACCTTGTGTTGCTATACTGTCTCTGAATAACCAAATCATTGATGTTAGTGAAACCATCATGGTTAATTGAAGTAGCAGTGAACCTTTGTGTGCTGGTATTGTGCTGTCTCCGAAATAACCAAACAACTGCTTTAGTGAAAGCATCTTTTGGTTCAGGAGGCAGTTATGCATCTCAGTATTTGTACATCCCTCATGAGTAGGTATTAATATACTGTCTCCGACATAACCAATTTACTACTTCTGTGAGTACTTGTACAAGACGGGATGATTTGCCATTTTTAGTGATGCATTATTGCATATGATGTAGTCAGGGATCGGTAAGGGTTTTGTTTTAGTTGGTTTTGTAACTCACCATCTATGAACTAACCGATTCCATCTTGGTAAAAGTATTATTGGTTGTCACGTAGTTATGAACCTCAGTAAATGTGTTATCTAATTTCATACCTTGTGTATTTATATAGCCATAAAGGTACAGGATCGCTGATTACCATTTGGTTGAAAGCATTTTTTGTTATGATGTAGTATGACTCTCAGCATCTACATTTCATCACAGTTGATTCTCTGTGGACTGTGTAACTATACGATCTACAGAATGACCAGTTTTACTCTTTAGTATCACTGGTTTGTGATATAGTTAGTATCTTAGTATTGAAATATTCCCAAGTTCATACTTTAGGCAATTGTATAACTTTTACAGTACTTAGTTCAGTGCAACCCAGGGCAACGGATTACACGTCTGGGGCTGCAACTACAGTTAGACTACTTCGGGGTGGCTGGTTATTAGAGTACCAAGCCCATGACAAGTCTTTTTTAAGGGTTGTACCATGTCAACGGCTTAAGCACCTTTTTTTCTGAGTTCCCTGGGGCTCACAAGGTTATTCTTGCATGTCTTCCCTTATCAGGCATCCATAGTATAACCGTAAACTTTGGCGCATTTACAGCAGCTGGCTGCTGCTCATGCTCCCAGCATATCGGATAGTGTCCTTATGTAATTTGATGGCATCTATGTTACACCACATCGATTAAACTGAACATATCAGATAGTGTTCTGTAATTGGTGGTGTCTGTTACACCACATCAATAAACTGGTGGCAGTTTAACACGGTTGGTAGTACTGATGGCAGTATGGGGCTGCAGCCTGACTTGCCACTTGCATTTTTAGTCTAACTCATCCATTTAGTAACAAGCTCTGTCATCCAGGCTAGGGCTGCAAGAACTAATCGACATAATCGATTATTGAAAAAGTTGTCAACTTTTTCAATAATCGATTAATCGGCTTCTGATCAGTTGGCTCTGTTCACTGCTCCACACACGCTGCGCGCCGCACCTCCTCCCCAACTCACGCTCAACGCTGCCAGACCCGTACGCCCGCATCCACACTCTACACGCCGCACCTCCTTCCCGCCTCACACTCACCGCCCGCCCAAATCCACCATTGGCACAGGGACGCGGGGAGATGTAGTAAGGAGGAGCAGGTGTGGGGGGATGACAGCGGCAGATTGACAGGCCTGATCTCAGAAGCAAGTTGCTGGAAGACTGCTCAAGTAAGCCTGCACTTTCCCACACGTGGTGCTCTATAATGTATTGCTGGGATTTGTATTCCTCTATAGCTGATGGTACGTTGTGCTGTAAATTATACATAGGAATACAAATCCCAGCAATACATTATATACTGTATGTATAATGTACTATTGCTGGAATTTGTTGTACTCTATAGTTGGTGATAGTCTGCACTGCGCTGTATAGAGGACAACAAATCCCAGCAATAATACATTATACAGTGGTGCACTGCCGAATACCACTGGCTATAGAGGACTACAAAACCCAGCAACAGTACATTATACAGTGCAATGCAGAATACCACCAGCTATAATGTACTATTGCTGGGATTTGTTGTGCTCCTATAGCTGGTGATATTCTGCATTGATTGCTGTATAATTTTACACTTTCCATTTCACTATATTGCACACCACAATTTTTTTTTTTTTATTCCACTGCTCCAAGCTTGCTCCTAGCTTGCTCCTGTCAATACAAACTAGTAGTCCATCACTGGAGCCATTTTCAAAAATGTATTTGATTGTTTCACCGATTTAATCGAACTTAATAATCGGCTAATCGATTTTGAAAATAATAGTTAGCTGCAGCTCTAATCCAGGCTATAGAAGTTGCCAGATGCTCCTTGTAAGTCAGTCACCATTGGAGGAAATCTAAGGATGTTTTGTCCTATACAGGGCCTTATGAAGACTGCAAAGCAGCATAATACCAATGCCTGGTGACCAGCTATCCATTGACCTTTCATCCACCGAAGGATTTCTGGCATGCTCCAATAAGAAATTAGTCTTCTTAGACCTGGGAGAGCTAAGGTTTCTGCAGAGCATATCTGGTATTGCACTGCAGAGTGCTCCTCCTCCTGCTGATACCAGTCTTTTGGCAGGGGGGAAGTTGTCCCCCCTGAAAGTATGATTTCTTGCCTAATCTCTCAGGCGCTGCCCTGGAAGATGACGGGGGGGGGGGGGGGGAG